GCCTTAACCGGATGACTCATCATCTTCTGGCATAGAAGACAGGTATAAAACGAAATCACGCTGAAGGTAATCATGATATACTTCTCTCTAGAGTATTCTCGATCCAAGTTGATTAAATAAATTGGTAAGCGAGAAAGACACTTGAAAGACTCAAGAGATCTTATTCCCTGTGGTTGCTCAACTTGAATCCACGGATATAGCCGATAACCTATAATTTAACGGGCATAAACAGGTAAGGCAATCAATGTCATCTGCGGAAAGTCTGCATATGTGCATACTAAGAAAGCCGATAGAAGGCAGAAGGTAGTCAGCAGTACCGACGGTTCGCTGCCGCTGAACCACCACCAGTTGCAGTGTGGGCTCAGGATATTGCTAGGAAGGCCCGTTCCCTACTCAGGCTTGAAGCAGCGCTCTCTAGGTTACAAGGCAGGATTGTTATCTTTAATGCTACGGTCCGGCACTCTGATGCGAGAGAATAAGTGAGTAAATGGTCTGGGTCACAACGCATGCCCAAGCCGGGTAAACGGCTTGGGAAGACAAATTCAAGAGCAAGTCCGTGGAATATCACAACCTAACAGTGATGGCAAGAGTAATGAGACCGCGTTAATACCGTAACGTTTTTGCAAGGGATGCTTCTACCTCTTCAGAATATGGCTAGCCTACCCAGCACAAATTCTGCTGTCAGTAACGAAAAAGAGAAGGAGATGAATTAAAATAAATGCGTCGTTTGTCCTGCACTTTTCCAGTCTATACTAATGCTGTTGAACAAATGTATGCTTGTCACATGTGCTCCCGCTGTTTCTGTGGCAGAGCCATATCATGTCATACGTAAATTAGATAATGGGATGGTCGTCTTGGTAGATGCCAATCGATTACGAGATAAATAGTTTTTAGGGACGAAAACAGTTTGTAACTGTAACTGTTTTTTTTTCTCAATGGCTATGTATTCTTATGTCCACCCCGGAAAGAATCCATCGTGGTGGTGTAGCAAAGGAAGACATGGACGGTTTGGGGTTCAGATGAAGAAGACGTTCAAGTTATATTTACGATCTTTACACTTTTGACAGTTTTGTGTGGCTATGAAAGTCAACAATCTAACGTGCTTATAAGCGTTGACCTCTTAGGATTGGATATAGGTGAAATCTAGACATTTCTCACAAGTAAACTAGTAGGCTGAAAAACACATCACGAACTGTAAAAACGAAATTATTTCATGCTGAAGGGTGACATAATTTACAATAAATGTAAGTTTCCTCGTCTATTGCAATTTGTTTTAAGGGGTGTAGATGAAAATTTAGACGGCAGCTAGTTGATCGACTTTGCTTGAAATTCCTTAGCTGGTGCTAGAGAACAAGTAAAATAGATTACTTAAATACGACAGTTGTTATTTCCAGAAGATCAACAAACACGGTTTGTCCGGAAAGTGGTCGGTGAATTCACGGTGAAGTCAGTAAACTTAACAAGGTGCCCGGGTCAGCTTAGTCGGTGGAGGGAGAAGTCAGTTTATGCACATACAATCCCTTAGTTGTCTGCGACCATGCGCAGAGTAAGTCGATTTCACCTCCTGTGCAGGTCGCGATGCAACGCTCGATGGAACAAAGGATAGCCATAAATTTTGTATGAAACAGCACGTCCGCAGTGGAAATTTCTCCTATGATAAAAACGGCCTTTGATGTGGACTGTTTATCGGAACGTCAAGTCTACCAATGACATAAGCTTTGGTAAGTGGTGAAGAGGTCAGTGATTATGCCAGCGGTATAAGATCATCAACTAAAACTATCTTAGAAAACATTACGCGTGTGATTGATCTGTTGAACTCAGATCGTCGTTTGTGTTTGTTTAATAGTACAAACAGTAAACTTTCCAAAGGTTACCGTTTACTAGATTGTTACAAACAACCTGCACATGAAAAGTGTGCACGAACCTAGCACCCAAAGTGTTAACTGACGACCACAAGTCCCGCCTAGTTGAAACCTACTAGAATCTTTGGGACTTGTGTGAAAGTGACTCCCACTTTTTAAACAATATCATCCAAATGAATGAATCTTGCATCTTTGAGTACCAAGCCGAAACAGACCGGCAAAGTGCCCAGTTGCGCATATCGTTGTCCCCTCACACTAAGAAGGCCAGAATGAGCAAGTCAAAAATCAAGAGCATGCTCATTAGGCGTTTTGACATTAGGTGACTCGTCCACCATGAGTTCGCACCACATAGTGTCACCGCAAACTCCAAATTCTACGTGAAAGTGTTCAATCGATTCCAGCGTTTGATTCAGTGCGTCCGGTCCGGCATGGCAGATAAAGAGAAGCTTCACGAGAAAACGCGCCGGATCATATCGTCTTCCTCGTGATCCGCTTCTCCGTCTATTCAACCGTGCAAAGGATTTTCCATCCGCCATACTATGCTGACTTGTCTCCCCCAGACTTCTTGTTCTTCTGCTTTAAAAAGCCAGTGAAAGGACATCATTACGAGACAGTTGATAAAGTCAAAGTAACTTGTACCAAGACTCTTAAACGTATTCCAGAGAAGGACTATCACGACGTTTTCGATGCGCGAAAATCTCGCTAAAAACGATATATGGATGCAGGTAGAGTCTCTTGTGAAATTTTTTGACGTGTTGTACCGATAGGATTCATAGATGTTTTTTAATCGACTCACTGACATTACTTTTCGAACAACCCATTTATGAGGGTAGAGCAATTAGTTTCCGGATCCACAGTACACAGAATTGCTACAGATAACCTGGCAAGAAAATTACGAAATGGAATCCAATCTGAACATTATTCTGCGATTCCAACACACAAAACCCTATATCAGCAGCCCAGCAGGGCTCACAAGTCATAATGATCGCTATACTCTGACTATAAGTATAGAACTCAAATGGTCACTAGAAGGTGATTGTTTGCTATAAGTACAAATATGATTCCAATCGGCACCCGAGTGTTGAGCGCTTGCGTGCTGCGTTTAGTCATGATGCGCCGTCAAGCACCCCCGTGTTTGAATGGTTTGCGGCATTATAGCGTGACAAGCGGTCCCTGGATAACGAGGCACGTTATGGTCGACCTGTGGAGGCCACCACTGCGGACAACATTGCTGCTATGCAAGCGATGCTAGATGAGGACGTGCAGGTGACTGTGGTACAGCTGAGGACAGACATCGGGATCGCATCGGGATGAATTATTACCATCCAATATGAGAACCTCGGCCTCAGAAAGGTTTGCTCACACCAGGTACCCCATCAGCTCATTGAGAAGCAGAAAGCAGCTCGGGTGGATTGGTACGTCACCATGTTTGTCAGGTTTGAAGGTGAACTTTCCAGTGCTGATTGGGAGATCCTCAGTGGTGATGAGACCTAGGTGCAGGGTGTAGACTCAGAGACCAAGCAACAATCGGCTCATTTGAAGGCTGTTGGTGGGGCTCCGCTTCTGAGTTTCCCGCGTGAGTGCAGCTTGGCCAAACAGATGGTGCCTCTGTTCGTGGCCAAGACCGGGCCTGTGGCTATCGCGTTGCTCGTTCGGAAACGCACAGTCACCGGAGAAAGGTATAGCACCCACTGTTTGCCACGAGTGCTAGAATCTGTAGCCAAGCCTTGTCCAAGGACCCGAGCACGAAGAACTTTGCTGCACCACAACAAGGCACCAGCACATAAGTCCCGTTTCGTCCTAGATTTACTGGCTAGGGAACGTATCCAGGAGGTTAGTCGGCCACCACACAGTCCAGATGTGGCTCCGTGTTAGTTTCTGTGTATCCAAACGTCAAGCACATGATGTATGAAATCCGCTGCAGAAGAGGCCGTTATTGAGTTGCTTGAAGGGTCACTCGCTTCCTTATGGTCTAGCTGCTTCGCTAAATGGTTTGAGCGCAAGGAAGTGTGTTTGAACGCTGATAGAGAGCAAGTAGACAAGAGGTAATGCTTATTTTGTTATAAAAAGTAAAGCATTTGTGTATTTTGAAACTTATTGCCCTGCCCCCACACATGTCGATGACTTCGCTCATGATGCAATAATAGGCTCGATAAGTCTACAAGTCGATATTACAGATGTTAAGAGTTGAAAACGCGCCGGCTCGAGAGTAAACCAAGTGGTTTGGGTAAAGGCTTTAGCACTTAGCTTAATAATCCAAGACGCTATATGTTATGGACTATTTGATTTTTTGAAGTTACAGTTAAAAGTGACATATTCGATAGTAAACCGAACGAACGCTTATGCACGACCTTACAGATTAGTGGTGGACCAAAAATATGGGGACGCCTTGTTTCCCAAGACTGGAAGATAGCTGGGTTTGGTGCACCGTGGTAGCCGAGCAATCCAGTAGATATAGTCGGACCTAATTGCTAAGGTTCTCGGGAAACAGACATTCACATAGGTACTTAGGTCCGATATATAATTTCAGTCACTTTTTAGTGAGACAAATTAGTTGAGTGTTGACTTACGCAGATTTCGCTGGGATTATAACGCTGCGCACGCGACGCGGAAAGTTGCAATGCAAAATGCACATGATGGGAAACTAGGTGACTGTTTCATGGATTCCGGCACACAAGGAACCATTAGAGTTAAAAAGAACATAAAACTGGTTGCAGTTTATTGGCTGTGGGAATAAAAAACTGTATTTTATACGATTACAATTCCATCAGATTCGTGATTCATGATGCGAGATCTTGTCGATGACTGCAACAATGGAGCTGGAAAACAAAGCAAGTGCTCATCAATTATTCCTCGGTCCAACTACCCCGCAAACAGGGGATGCTAATAACAACGGATGTATCTAAATAGACAATAGGCAAATCCGAAACCGAATGCCACAAACCATGTATGTATGTGCGTCCCCTGCTGAGGTTGATGTTGCATTCATGATGCTTCTTCACCGCAGTTGGGCTAAACCAACTTACACTTAAACCAGGTCTTTTTAATGTGGATAAAATTCATTACCTGTTATTTGGTTTGTTCTGCGTACTTGATAATCTTCTCCCAACTTGCACACGTCGTTCACGCAAATTGTGGTAAACTTGCGTAATTGTATCGCGTGGTCTTTTTTTAAATAGCTCGGACATTTTGTACCTATCACGGATTCTTCTATATGCTCATTTAGCGAGTATTTATGTTGTCATATGCGTTCACTTTATTCGATATTGGCATCCTGAGGGATTGGTTGTTGTTTGACATCCCAGATGTGGCTGCGCTTGATGTGCATGTTGACAAGGTGCCTACCCATCTATTACCCACTATCTCGTCCATCTGGCTCCAGGAGACAGTTGGTCATTTCTGGAGGGGACGGGATGCATGGTTCTTGTGGTCGTGCTAGGATAAAAGAGTGCTTCCATGCACTCAGTGTGGAGCGGACAAAGGGCCAGCCACTGCTTTGTGTGCACTTGATTCATTAAATACAGCGTGCTTGTGTTTGCCTGTGAAGGAGTGTGGGGCGTCTCCGTTAATGAAATGTGGCTCCCATCCACATGCCTCCTTCGGGTTTACACTGGATATGGGGTGTGTGGATGGAGCTGTGGGTGGTGCAACGCAAGCCATCCATGGTCCCTCTGTAGGCGCAGGCGTCCTGTGGCTGACCACAGTGACAGGCAAATCCGAAACCGGATGCCGTCAACCATGTAAATAGACTATATAAGAGTTGTTTCGGTATCCACATCGAATCCATACGGCTCACATGACCCAGACACCTCAGTTGTCTCAGCAAAAGTAGGCAGTCTACTGCATACATTTCACTTCGATCCAACACTTCCGTGTCCGCAACTCTGTCTCCCCAACCGATGCATAAAATTCATCGCAAACACCGCTGATGGAACCGCTCGAGTTATCGCACATCCCGACGGTACATCGTCTACGTTTCACTGCCGTATAGAAGAACGGACAGCGCCATATATTTGTACACCATCAGCTTCGTGCCAATGGTAAGCTGATGGTTGTTCCATACCCGGTACTCTAGCTTCCCGAATGACGCCACTGCCTTCGACAAGCGGATACGAAGCTCACTGTGTATCCGCAGATTAGTCGACATCATATTCCCAAGGTAACAGAGGCAGGAGATGGTTTCCAATAGTCAAACACTAATGATGATTCGCAGCAATATTGAAGATTTGCACCTCCGGTGAAGGCTGAAAGAGGCGGACAGTTTTGCTTGTGTTGATGGTGAGCTCGAATTTGGCCACTGTCGAAGCCAGAGCACTAGTCATATGCTGCAACTCATCCGCGCTGTGTGAAAACAGCGTACAGTCGTCAGCAAACATCAACATACGGATAGTTGTCTCACAGACTAGAGTTCTCGCAGCGAAACGACGGATGGTAAGCAAATCACCATCAATACGGTGCTTCACATAAACACCTTGCTTCACACCAGAGACGACTGCAAAGTCATCCGAGGTCTCTTCACTCAGCTGCACCCTCGCTCGCATACCACTGTGCAGACATTCAATTAAACTTACAAATTTACGCGGGCAACCCAAGTTGCCCAACACCAGCCAAAATGCCTCGTGGTTCGCCGTATCAAATGCCTTGGCGAAACCAACAGAAAGCGATTAGAATGGCTGGTGTCGATCTCTGCACTTCTCCTACAACTGACGATCCGCAAACACCATATGTATAGTGCTGCGACCCGAACGGAATCCACACTGCTCTTCCGCCACGTTAGGTTTCACAACCTGACTGACGAGGCGGTTGAGCAGCATTTGGGCAATCACCTTGCCCACACAACTCAGCAAGTTGATGCCACGATAATTCGTGCAACATTGCTTGCTCCCTTTGCCCTTGTACAGTGGTAGCACAAGGGCATCCTGCAGCTCAGGAAGCACCTCCTCCTCAATACATACACGTTGCACCAAGTGGTGCAGCGCAGTCACCAACGCGGGTCCGCTGTGTTTCAATACTGCTACGCGAAATCGCTTTGAACCAAGCAGTATTAAAAATATTTTGACGGGCTACAATTCGTAGTAGTCTTTAGGATCATCAAATTTTTGACCGATTCGTATGTTAAAACAATGAACAGCTAGGAAGTAACCACATAATTCGCGGAGACAACTTAATCAGAAGGTATGAAGTGAGAGAAGTTTAGTACGTATAGTCATTACAATTCGACGCATCACGAAAGCTAATGTAAGTTTAAAATCATCCATTTCAAGTCAGTGGTACAAATTAACGGCATCATTTGGCTCCCTAGTGAAACTTTAGGATTAATGCAGTGGAGTCGTGCTGCGAACATTAAGGTCATTCAAGTGATTTCATCGTTCGGTTGACTTTCTGACTTACCAGATTTGCGGGTCTATCCACATGCATCCAGTCGCGGATGTTTGATCCATAGCTTGCACCTGCCAAAATGCCGCAGAAGATTTCAACCATCATGGCTAAACCAGATCCCTTGTATCCACCTGAGTTAATGTGTGAACACAAACGGGATGCTTAGGAGTTAGAACCCGTCGTGTGCACGGGTTTGTAGGCAAAATATACGTAAGATTTTTGGATGAATATTTTCCTTACGTGTTAGCATCAGATTGCTACAAGGAAACGAATAGAGGCCTTAGTCACCAAGTACTAAAAGTTCAAATTGAACTGCTTTAGACAAGTAAGAAGACACAATTTAAATGCTATTTAAACATGGTGTAGTAGTTTGCATAACCAGAGGTTACGCTGCTGTTTGGGTTTTTGTTTGACGAAATGCTATTTTACTTTGACTGCCCACATAGTTCTATCACGAAAAAGACTGCTAGCAAATAGTATAAGGTGCGCACATTTATTAGCCAGGTGTTTCGCGTAGGACATCGTTCGCGAATCCTAATACTTTCGGGTATATTGGTCTGTAAAATACGTGCATCCCAATGAGTGATTAGAAGTAAATAAACTTACTTTCCCAAAATTAAGATATAAATGTAAACGGAATTCTAACGAATGTTCATGTCCATTGTCCCGATCTAATCAATATCTACTTTCTGCCTGGCTGATAAACGAACGAGCATGTCTTGAGTCTCAGAAGTGAATCTAAGTACACCACCGAGACTTAGAAATACAAAATGGCATTCATGATAAAGATGAACACGTTGACATGGTGCTATAGTTCTCTAGACATCAAAATATCAACGATTGGTTAGATGCAAGCACCAGTCAAACGGCAGTGCACTTCTGCTAACAAGTGTACAACAAACGTTGCATCTTCTGTACAATCCGGCGTCTCACTTCCCTGATCGCCCAGTAACTCAAATATGAATAATATACATGTAATTAAATATTTCCTTGATCTAACCTAGTGGAAACCTGGATTTGTTAGGAAATTACTTTGGCTATATTTACTGTCCACACAGGATTACGACACGTCTAACAGTGGTATAAAAAATAGAAGTCATGACAAAGCCTAGAGGGGGGCATTTGCTGTAACATTATTGGTTACTCACTATTTTAGATACGTACAGCCTTGGCGTATAGTATCTGTGAGAACGAAACAATCTACTACCCCCGACAACGAAAAATAATGACGAATGTGATACTTTGTAAGGCTTTTACTCTGAAGATTTATTAATGCTTATTCACTTACGACGTTCTTGTAGCGTATAAAAGCTGATGCTTGAAAAAGCAATAGAGCCGAAGTCAACCAACATCAGATGCTCATTCATTTGAGTTTTGGACGGATTTTAAAGGGACAACACTAAGGCACCTGTGAATTATGACAACAAAAGTACTGTTAGGCTGCGGGGCCGTAACTAGCCGATTAATGAAACGGTGACTCATAGAAAAACATGTACGCAAACTTCGAATTTAGCTTGAAAATGAGGACGAGAGGGATTGTAGAGAGAAGGATAATGATTTTCAGCAATACTCAACATTCAGATAGGGACGGAGCCCATCACAGTTTACTTCACGGTTAATCGTGGTCTAGTATGACATTGCATAACCCATCTATACAAACAGCTTGGGTTTTAATATGCCCCTCCCGGTTAGTCACTGATGGTTGTGACACCCGTTAACTCCCCAACTCGGTCCAGTAGGGGTTGAGACTTCGGCCGAAACCCCAAAGGTTTCGGGTTCCAATGCACAATGAACAATGGTATATCACAGATAAAAAAGCGATTGCTTTACAAGTCCTGTAGGCTGGTGGAAGTGAAGGTAAACATCAGTGTAAATCGTCAATTTCAGCGTCTAACGATTCAGGTGCTCCTTCTTCATATAAACATTTTAGAATATGTACTGAATTGTTACTAATATGGGGAAGTAATATGGGGAAGGTATGTCTTAAGAACACAAGGAACGACAACGCTTACTTGTGCGCCGCTTTCTTGACTGAGGTAGTTGATGAATGCACTCGTAATATATTCGAAGTATATTGCACAGCAGCAGCGTTTTAGCAGTAAAGCACAAAAGCTGCAAATGAGAACCTTTTATTCGTGTTTGGTTGATGTAGACATCACCGATTATATAGCGTAAGGGAAGTGGATAAGCGAATCTTCCGGACTTCTTTTGATTAGCGTTAGCGTGGGGGAAGAAACAACGTATGTACGAAAAGCGTTCCAGTGTTAACACACACGAAGGGAAAGCAATTCCGGCGGCATTCCAACCGGCTGTATTGTGTAGTCAGCTTCAGTTGGTGTTCTATGAGTGTAATATTGCGATTCAACTTTAGTAGGTGACGAAAGGAATGATTTGGATTCCTCAGGATCATATAACTCATTAGCAAGTCGCCAAGCAGGCGTCGAGATTGTCCACTGTAGACCCCGAGGGTTTTCAGTCTCAATCGGTAATGGAGATGAAACAGGCCATTTACGTTCTTGGTCGCCCTTTGTTGTGGCAGTTCAAGAGCGGTAAGGAATTGCTTTTGCTATGGCTGCCAGGCGTGGATGACATACGCAGAATGAGGCCGAATGTAGGCTTTGAGCATCTGAGAAAAGATGGAAGGATCAAAGCGCCCGAATGACCACCGCAAAAGGCCAAGATGTTGGTTAGCTTTTTTGGAGGATTTCTCGGCCTGACCTAAACAGCTCAGATCTTCCTGAACTCTTACACCTAGATTGCATTCCGTTGAATTGCGCTGCAATATATGATCCCCCAGTCTGTATTCGCAAGTGGCTTTATGATGTATGCTCAACACCTTGCACTTGGTAGCGTTGAATTGAAGCAGGTTTTGTGTCGACTATTTGTAGACCCTGTCATGATCATCCTGAAGTGCTGAATTGTCGCTGGTTGTTCTAATGGATCGCCATACCTTGAGATCATCAGCGAAGAGTAAGTAGTTGGAGGTGATTACTGGCACGAGATCGTTTATGTAAATCAGGAATAGTCGTGGACCAAGTACTGAGCTCTGGGGCACTACGCACTTACCGTCGATTGGGTCAGAGATGACGCCGCGAACTCTTACATCCAGATGTCGTTGAAGCAGAAAGTTACCTATCAAACCGATAAATGGGTCACCAATTCCACAACACCTCAGCTTGTGAAGGAGGATACGGTGGTTCAGACGGTCAAAGGCCTTTGAGAAGTTCAGATATTCTGCATCTACACTTAAGCCGCTGTCGACGGTCTCAGTCCAACTGGATGTAGTAAGCAGCAAGCTTGAAGTGCAAGGTTTATTCTTACGAAATCCATGTTTTTTGTGCTATGCTATTACTTTCTTCCAAGTAGTTCATAAGCGCTTCAGCAACAATCGCTTCCATGATTTTGGATAGCTCCGGGAGTAGTGTTATCGAGCGATAGTTGGCCGGATCTGTACAACTTCCCCTCTTATGGATGGGAGGGACGATGCCTTGCTTTCACATTGCTGTCACCTGTATCTCATGGAGGCATCGTTGGAAGAACTTGTAAAGTGGGTCCGCCAGGTTTACTGTAGCCAATTCAACGACTTCGGACGAATATTGTCAATGCCGGGAGAGGTATGCTCGCGCAGGGCAATTAGCCTTTTCATAACATCCGCAGTCGTAAAAGTGAGGTGGCTAAGCCGTGGTGGTGGTACAACATAAATAAATAAATAAATAAATTGTATTTTCCTCGACTATGCGAGAAGCTGTTCTCTATAAGGAACAGATTAAATAATGCTACAACTTTTCCATGACATTTCATCAATACATTTTCAGAGATAAACATGGATGCAATTGCAAATTATGTTACACAGAATAATCAGAATCGTTCTGCTATTTTTACCTGCCACTGAATCAGGATTCTTTACAATCACATGATAGATATTTGGGCCGAGAGAAAAAGATGTAATGAAAGGGGCTGTTGTCCGAAATGTTATGTGTATGTGTTTCAGAAATTTATTCAGACACCATGGATACCGTTTTCGAATGCGTTATCTAGGGACTGTGATGTCCCGAACATCTTAATCACGTTTTGGACGGTTAAATGCTTCCTAATAGCAAGCTTAAAATTGCAAAGAGTATAACATGTTCTGATATCACTTGGAAGTTTGTTCCAAATCTTTGAGTATTGGGTTAGAAAGAAACGTTCTCTGATTCTCGTAGAAAATTTTGGAATCATGACCTTTACCTCTTTGTTACGTATTGGGTATCTGTTGTTTACAGATATGTGAACACCGCTTTCAGGACTGCGAATTTGACAATTTATGATTCTGTAAAGAAAACATAGGTTCAGCTTCATTATCCGAAGCCAAACTGGGTCAAATCCAGGTTTATCGCATTGCTCCTTTTATGTCAACTTTGAGGAATATCCACATAGCTTTTTCGTGAAGCGTCTCTGGACCATCTCAAGAGCGTGCTGGTCAGACTTCCGTAGATTAGACTGTATCATTGAACAGTATTCCATACACGGTAATACATATGTTTTGTAAAGGGATATGCGAGATTCCGTGAGGTAAAAATGATGGCAGATATAACCAATGGTCTTTATGGCTTTCGAAACTTGGAAGTCACAGTGTTCAGAAAAGTTAAACGTAACTGAATATCGCACGCCCAAGTCGCGAATTGTCCTGCATTGCGAGATATAGGCACCTTGTAGTAATAAACTGTCTGGCGGTACTTGGCATTTGTACGACAAAATATTACACTTGTCCACGGCAAATGACATCTGCCACAGTTGGCACCAGGAGTCAAGGGCGGATAGGTCATCCTGAATGAGACGCACGGCTTCCTGAGTATTTGCACGTGGTTGTGAGTAGACAAATTTAATGTCATCAGCAAAGATAAATGCAACACCATTTCTTATTCTCTGGAATATATCGTTAATATAAATTAGAAAAAGAAGTGGACCAAGAACACTGCCTTGAATCACTCCACGAGTGATTGCTTTCGGTGTAGAGAAATGGTCGCCTATGCACACAACCTGCTGTCTACTAATTAGATATGAAGACAGCCAAGAGAGCATCGGTTTTCTAATGCCTATAGCCTTCAACTTTTCCAGTAACCTTCTGTGAGGCACTCTATCAAAGGCTTTT